CACACACACACACACACACANGAAGTGTGACGTCAACACTGGGTCAAAGGTATCTGGTAGATGATGTCGGCCCCCGTCGCAGTTCAATGAAGAGTGATGGGCCCTTCAAAGAAGCCACGTGACAAGCTTCACTGGGTCAGTCTACTGAGGAAGACCAGAGTGACTGGTCGAAAGCTCTAGGTGAGAGAACTTTTTTGTGTTGGACCAAAAGTTTTAACTTTCGGTCATGATAGTTAAAAAGAAGACATTCACAACAACAAAAACATTCAGTGCTTCATTCATATATAGAGAACTGTGCTCGCCTCAACTCTTTTGTAAGGCCACACCAATTCATTTTGTTGGTTCTTGTACATTTCTAGTTCAAAAGACAGCAAGCGGACATCATAAGATGAGAGGGCTAGGAAGAAAACTAGAGTATGGCTGTATTTACTACATAACATGGAGTCCACCGAGGCATCAACCTGGTCCTCAGACTTTGCTTTTTTTAGGTTTTTCCAGTTAACCATATTTTCAAAAAATTCGAGAACCAACAAATCAAATTGGTGTAGCCTAATGAAACCTTTGAAAAGAGTTTTGGTAACTGCAGTACACGTAGGATTTTCAGTGTAGTCAGTGACATTGTACGCTTCGTAACAGATTCATTTTTGTGAGGATTTCAACTTGCCAAGGTTTCTACACTTAACATTAGTACTACCATGTGGCCAGACTTCTTGTGTAATGTTGTATACAAGTAGTTATCAACGATTGTAATCATCAAGGGGAAAACTTTTTTTGTATCCCTCATTTTGTGGAGATAAAGTTTGAAGGTAGTACTAAAAAACAGGCTGGTTTCTTCATTGCAGTTGTGACTGGATGTGTTATTACTGGAGTTTGCTTGCTTAGTCCAGGAGGAGAATTTATGCTCTCTGCGTAAATTTCCGTTCTCGTGAACTTGAAGCCAGTAAAGGGACTGGCTGAAGCAAGGAGTAAACCTTCTTGGCTATAGAGACCACTTGTAAGTGATTTATCATCATCATGTTGGGCGGCTTGTCCGGAACTTGTGAGTATATATAGACTTGTAATTACATTGCCCTTGCTATGAGTTAGTCATTGGGAATGGTGGAGGAAGCATTGGCCCTCTTTTTAACCTCAAGCCCACAAAGAGATGCGTAACCAACAACATCCTCAAGTTGATAAAATCGCGCTCCTAGCGGTCATCCTTACAACTGCACCCCTAGGACATGGTAAGGAAGAGGGACATGTATCGCCTGACATGTCGACAACGAGTGCTACTCTCCAAGCAGAGGTTTGGGGTTATTTTTGGCGTGTTTTTAGGCTTTTTTTATCGGGGTTTCCCTTTTGCAATGAAATTTTTTTCCCACCCAACTGAAAAAAAAGTTCATTTTTGCAAAAGAGAAACCTGATAAAAAAAGCCTAAAACACGCCAAAAATAACCCCAAACCTCTGCTTGGAGAGTAAACGAGTGCGTGTGTAAGTTAGGTTTCCTAGGAAAACGGGTTAGTGATAATAAGCTAAGACAGAAGCCCTCTTCTCAACAAAATTCTCTTTTAAACTACACACCCTGAACATCATTAAACCCACAAATTTTGGAAAAGGTGGGACATTACGTCTTCCATAGTTTACAGAAGAGAAGTCAAACCCTTCAGACATAGTTTTAGACATACATGTAGTTATAGTTCTAGACAGCTACCTTCATCATGTAGATTTAGTTATCTTATACTCTGTTTCAATGCTCTTTTGTGTTTTGTAATTTGCAATTGGCCTCCGGGCACGAATGTGCAATTACTAGTAACTTTTTTTTATTAAACTACAGGATTCCCCATCCCACAGTCTTCCGGCCTGGTTCCTAGTGCAGTTCTATTTTTAGACGGTGACGTCACGGAATAGCCCGTCCTGTCACTGCTAATGGCCAACAGATGTGTGCCTGAAGCCTCAAGGTTACATTGATGACGTCGTCCCTAACCCGGGAAGGACAGGAATGACTCAGAAATACGCCGGAATTCCGGAAAACAAGGAAGTGGAAAGTTAGGCCACACCGATTTAATTCTATGGATGACATCAACGCGCGCATTACTTTTAGCCTGGCCTGATTTTGGAAAAAAAAAGGAATTTTGCTGCCCTCTGACAGTGGTCAACATGCCGAAAATGGGCAAATTGCCTTGCCATGCTGGAACGTGTATGGCACATAAACATGAAGAGAGGAGACAAGGCTCTGATTTATTGTTTTGACTTTTACTTTGATGCAGTGATGTATTTCATTCCTTTTATATATTACTACTGAATAAAAACCCTCTGTACAATAATTGAAAACTTCTATTTTTCAAAGTTGTTTTAGTGACAAATGAATGTTGTAATAGTTGGCAGTAAAGTTAGCCCAATATAGGTATCATTTCTTGTTTAACAAGGTTATTATGTCAAAATCTAAAAATGTAGGAAACTTTTTTTTTTGGCCTGCCTTGTTTCTTTACGCCCTATCGCATTAGATTTGGTTTCTGCGGAGGGTGTCATCCATAAAATCTACATGCTGTGGTTTTGGATACGCTACAAAAACTGTTACTCAAGCAACCATAAAAGCCATGTGTTTCATTACTAACCACGCCCACCTAACACCAGCAACATCCGGTCATGATGTGACGGAAATGGTTGGGATGAAGGTTTGGTTGGATCAGGAAAGAGTGCCAAGGTATCGTCACGCCAAAATTCCTTCGGGTAGCAACAAGTAGGGCCACTGTAACATCCTTGATTGCTGGTTGTCAGGGTTAAAATTAGCTATATAGTTTCTTCATATTACGGAAGGACTTACGGAAGGCATATAAAGTCATTTGCATGAATCATATTAATCCACAGGCACGCTGGCTAACTCCGCTAGCGTGCTTTGGGTCTGGCACCCAGGCTACACCTGGCACGTAGTAATAAAACTTATGCATATGTAGTATATATTATACATTATCGCAGAAGCAAAGATAATTGGAATTCACGGACACGAAGTAAAGTTCACGAGACATTTTATTCACATTTTCGGAATGGGCGACAAACCAGTTGTCTGATCACGTTCGGAGTAATATATCAAGACAAACAACAACACATGTAGTCAACACATATCCGTATTAGAGCTCTCGGTTTACAATTAAGTTTGTTGTTAACAGTGTCTGCAGTTTGATGACAATACTTGTATAAAAACATGTACATGTTTGATAAAACATGTACATAAAAATTAAAATGGCATTAGCACTAGCAATTCTTTATGTCATAATACTATGCTTCAAAATATATTCACAAATACGTTTTCACTTGTGTGTTAGACAATCTTGGTAACAAGAAAGTATATATTTAACAAAATATGCTATCGCGTAACAGAGCAAGAAGTAATTACAACATTTCACGTCTACAACGTAAAAGCGCTGTAAACACTTGTGCGTTAGCTGTCTTATTTAAAGACCATCATGGTAACAAAATATATCTATTTCACTAAGTATGCTATCGTATAACAAACAGAGCAAGAAGCAACTACAACATTAACGTAAAGGCAGAAACTCAACTCATTTCTGAAGAAATTCTGTGCTTCAAAATATTCACAAATACGTTTTTCACTTGTGTTGGATAATCTTGGTAACAAAAAATATATATTTCACTAAGTATGCTATCGTGTAACATAGAGAAAGAAGTAATTACAACATTGAAAGCCTACAACGTACAACGTAAATAGATAGAAACTCAACTCATTTCCGAAGAAAGTGATCTCGCTGGAAGTTTCCTTTGTTTCATTCTAATAGACAAACGTTTGTCCAACATGAAACTGTCTTTCTTTCTCCCGCAAGTCTTCTCCGCGAGTTTGCACAACGCTTTAAGAAAAGTCCTGTTTCTGAAACAATATATAATCGGGTTCGTGAAGGTGGATACAATGTACACCATTGGAGAAATCCGCTGCGCTAACCACTCTACTGTAGTCAGGTCCTTGTTGTCCTTGTAGTTTAAGTAGATTGTTGTGACAAGGAAGGGAAGCCAGCTGACCCAGAAGATAACGAACACGATGCCTATCGTAACGGCTGTTTTCAGTCCCCGGCGGAATTCGGCTTCTTGCGGGGAAGACTTGTTCGAGTTTTGCCGCAGCCGCTTCTGGTGTTTCCGCGCTTCTCTGAAGATGTTCCCGTAGACGTAAGTCATGATCACGACTGTAGGGATGAAGCAGCAAACAGTCATGATGACTCTGTCTGCCCCTAAGGAGCCGCGGTACCGACACATGAGATACCCCGGCATGTACTCGTACGTCTGCCCCTCTATGTAGGGCGCGATGCCGGCCACGATTCCTAACATCAAACATACGACCAGCATGCCCGCGATCTTTCCTTTGGTCATCTTGGTCTGGTAGTGGAGTGGATTACAGATGAACTGGTAGCGGTCGAAAGCGATCGCGCTGAGCGCGTTGAGGGAGAACACGCAGGCGACCTGGAACAGCGCGCCCTGGAACACGCACACGGCCGGAGTCGGGACGTGATCCAGCCCTCGCGTGAGAACGTTGAGAGCTGTCGGGACGAAGATGAGACTCTGCACGATGTCCCCGCACGACAGCCCGCAGAGTAGATAGTTCCCGGGTTTCCGTAACTTCTTGTCGTACGCGACAACAATTATGACCGCCATGTTGCCAACCACACAGAGAGTCATGGCCAGGACCAGGTAGAACATCTGGAACGCTGCGGACAGACCATCCGACGCGAAAAGAACGTTGTTGTTGAGTCCAGCGGTCTCATTATCGGCAAATGTCCCGTTCATCTCGATCAAAGTCACGATAACGGTAGGAAACTCTCCCTCTGTAGCTGTAGGCTTCATGATCAGTCCCGACATCTTTGTGTGGACGATAAAGATATACAGGCTTGGTTTTAAGAGCTCCGACGGCGTGGTTTGGACCAGTGACACACCGCCTCTGAGTCAGACAGCCGAATACTTCCTTGTTCCAAGGTCCCTCCTACTTTAAGCAACGGTGTTTTCCTCACTTAAACACCGAGTCGCGACTGTTATAAGACGTCAGCGGCCTTGTGCGTAGTAATTCCTCAGACGGCGAAGCTGATCAAAACATCTGCTGCTCGTTTCTCAGTGATCGTAGCCAGACTGCCTGGAAGGCTTGTAGAGGTTCTGCCCTACGCAAATGTATCCAGTTTCTCTCTCACTGCAAGCCTCGCGAGTTCACAGCTGGCATTACTAAGTAGGCAGCGTTCTCCCAAAGGACAGTGAGTAAGGTTCTCCTCTATACGGTAAACAGCTGCTTCAGTAAACTTAAACTTGACCTTGTAATCGTGCCGGATGCCGCGGGCAGGCAGTGTGTAGGCGACTTCAACTTCAGACTGGGCCGCTCGCTTCCTCCGAGGAACGATATCAATCTTCAGCTTCCAATCAGAACTGTTGTGGTGATCACAAAAGGTCAACGACGTATGACACAGCTTCTGATGAAAATAAATCACTTCTCTTGCTGAGAGGTCATCCCGACTGCTTTTTCTTTAAACGGAAACCAGAGTCATTCGTCTCAATCTAAATAGTCATGGCATGTACGTAACCTTGCCAAATTAACTTCAACCTTGCCTGCATAGTACGTACGGACCCATCGTGGGCTTCCAGCTATGTCATCGGTGTTTGGAAATGCTCCCCGTCCGCATATTAAAGTTCATATGCGCTCTCTTGGGTGGGATTCAGACAGATCAACTTTCTGCAGTCGGTAAAAGGCCAACACAGAATTTTCTGAGAAATTCTTGGGAGGGTAAAACACTCTCGTGCAAGCTGGGGTATCCACTAGCAAGTCCTACCGATGTAAGAACGAAATCCATTGGTGGAGAAGCAAAATAATTCCCAGGTATTTTGCTGGTAGCCAACCGTGTGCCCTTTTGGTCTTTGCATCTAGCACGCGCCGGCTAACGGGAATTATACATGTACATCTACAATATCAATGCCCACACGAAGGTATTAAAAGTTTAATTTACACTCAGGTGCGTCTACTGGTGGATCACGCAAAGGTCGCGATCATTCCAGAACGAGATTAACAACACTGGGAGACTCACACGAAGCTCTTAGCCTCTACCAGGCTTCGGGAGCCGGCTTGACAAAAAGAGTAGAAATTGGCCAAATAGAGATGTGACATTAACCTCTACCAGGCTTCGGGAGGCGGCTGGAAAGAAAGAGTAGAAATTGGCCAAATAGAGTGATAACATTAGCCTCTACCAGGCTTCGGGAGCCGGCTGGACAAAAAGAGTAGAAATTGGCCAAATAGAGATGTGACATTAACCTCTACCAGGCTTCGGGAGGCGGCTGGACAGAAAGAGTAGAAATTGGCCAAATAGAGAGATAACAATAACCTCTACCAGGCTTTGGGAGACGGCCGGAAAGGAAGAGTAGAAATTGGCCAAATAGAGAGATAACATGCCAAGGGTCCGCTGGACAGTATATTTTGCCGCACCCTAAGCCTGTTGGGGGTCGCTACGACTCAAACAGTATAAAAGTAACACCCTCGTTATTCTAACAAAAAGATCTATCTCAGCGCAGAATATCATTCAAGCAATAAACCAACCAGAACCCATGTGTGTATACATCTAGAGAAGACAGCCGGCCGGTACTATACTGGCCTCTACCAGGCTACCGAGTGCGGCAAACTGTACTCTCTAGCGGACCAACTCCCTTCGCATGTTATATCTCTCTATTTCTACTCTTTCCAGCCGCCTCTCGAAGCCTGGTAGAGGCTAGTGTTATCTCTCTATTTGGCCAATTTCTACTCTTCCAGCCGCCTCTCAAAGCCTGGTAGAGGCTAGTGGTATCTCTCTATTTGGCCAATTTCAACTCTTCCAGCCGCCTCCCGAAGCCTGGTAGAGGCTAGTGTTATCTCGTCTATTTGGCCAATTTCTACTCTTCCAGCCGCCTCCCGAAGCCTGGTAGAGGCTAGTGTTATCTCTCTATTTGGCCAATTTCTACTCTTTCCAGCCGCCTCCCGAAGCCTGGTAGAGACTAACCCTCTCTCACGTGTAAACACATGCCTGAAGGCCTCCAAGGGCTGGTAGAATGCCGTGATGGCTTAATCAGAGAAGATCAGTTAGCCTTAAATGAGGCCTTGTGAGAATCAGAGAATTACCGAGTGGAAAACACGGGGCATGAACTTGTCGGTACCGCTATGACCTACAGGGCAGGTATGAGGAAAATCTGTCTTCTCTAGATGTATACCTACATGAGCTCTAGTTGGTTTTCAAGTATGTTGCTTGAATGATCTTTCCTAGAGAATAAAATTTTGACTAAATCATTGTACAAATGGTTTTGATTCAGTGGGAACATCACATATACACAGCCAGCATCACATATCATTGCATCAAAGTAAGAAACAAAACGTCGATGAAGGTTAGACATCCAGGTAATACGATACGCCAAAAAGCCAAAAGAGACAAAACATTAAATCAGAGCCTTTTCTTGTCTCCTCTCTTCATAGTTATCTGCCATCCACCTTCAAGCATGACGGCAGACATCTTTGCCCATTTTCGGCATGTTGAGCACTGTCAGAAGGCAATAAAATTATTTTTTTTCCAAAATCATGCGAAAATTAATGCGCGCTGATGTCATCAATAAGATTACTTGCTGTGGCCTGATCCAACCAAACCTTCATCCCAACCATTTCCGCCCCATCATGAGCGGATGTTGCTGGTGTCTTTTGTATCCCGCCCACGAGTGATGACTGTGAGTGGGTGGGCGTGATTACTAATGAAAGAACACATCCTCCGTAAGGATCCCTAAATAGTTAGATTTCCTCAGAAATGTAAAAGTCATCGTCGGGCACATTTTCTTTGAATTGATCACACTAGTATTTTCGCTTGTTTGGAAACGAAAGAACGGCAGAAATATCAAAACAACAGAGGAGCTACTCAATCACAATCACAACGGTCTATGGCAATCACTCGAGATTTTTATTTGCAATCAGATACAGATTCATGTACAGTAACATATAGTCATGCACAGATAAAGATTCATGTACAGATATACAGATACAGACTTTCCGAGTAGGATGACCGTGTCAGTCCCTACACCTGAGTGAGGGTCACAGTTGACACGGTGTCCTTCGCATGGATTTGTTTAAGGTGGATAACAGGTTGCGAATCTGTTGAGAACGGTGGCATAAAATGTAATACCAGTACAAAAAAGAAATCCTGACAAAAAAGCCTAAAAACACGCCAAAAATGAGTCAAAGCCCAAATCTCTGCTTGGAACGTATACAAAACTAGAAAGGTAATGCACAATGATTACCTTCGGATATGGTCTGCTCTGTTAATTCTTACTCAAACACATTCATATATATGGTGACAGGAGTCTAAATTCCTCCAGCTATAAAATTGCAACATCATGTAACCTAAAACTAGTTACCATGGTGACAGACATAACAGACGTACCAATGTCATTGACTTTATTGATTTGGAGAGGAAGAAGAGGAAACTGAGCAAAAACAATATGTTTTCCATCGGTAAACATAAAAATGCTACAGGCCTCAACCGTAATATATCTCAACGTCTGCTTGTTAACCTCAACCTCATAATTTATTTGTTCTAGGTTGTCGTGACCCCGTTAAACATCACACACACGCTACCTGTCATGCCAAAGTCGACTAAGGTTATATTTATTTGATCAAGAAAGGGCGGACAAATATTTTGATGTAAGGTGATTCATTATACAGTGGAAACCAGTTATAGGCGGATTGACACAATTCGATGTAGCAAAAACGTACCACTAGCCTCTACCAGGCTTCGGGAGGCGGCTGGAAAGAGTAGAAACTGGCCAACGTATAGAGATAACATGCCGGGGAGTTGGTCCACTAGAGAATACAGTTCGGGTGCAGAAAAATTACTCACTAGACTAGTGGACCAACTCCCCTAGCCTGGCATGTTGTCTTTAGCCGGACACATCTATTTGACCAATTTCCATTCCTTCCAGCCGCCTCCCGAAGCCTGGTAGAGGCTAACGTACTACAACACACAAATCAGGTGTAACTTGTAAGATCCGGCTCAGACTCGGTGTTTTATGCGTATTTTCAAGAAGGTTAAATACAATGATTTTAAACCTCCTTGGTATTTTGTGACATTTTTTGTACCGGCTTATTTTATTAGGGAGAACTGGAAGAGAAAAAGTCAAGGCTCGAAGGAGACGAAGAGGATAAGAAAGTAAGCAAGGGGAGGTGGCTATTTTTGGAGAGAAAAATGCGGACAACTAAAACGAGGCATAAACGGCCTTTAAAACACCCGTAAAACAAAAGCGCCGGATCACTTGGAGATTAACGTAATTATGTTGGTATCAAACGTTACTATAAGACGATATTATGGCTGGATTTAATACCACCCCTCCCACCCACACGTTTGTTCCACACTAGTCTTGCAGTTTCCGGCTAGTCTCCATCAGGCTAACAACGGGTTCAAAAATAGTAAAATTTAGCCACTAGGAAGAATAATTCAATAATTGACTAGGGGAGTTCAGCCAGGATAGAGTTCATTTGCCTGCGCAGTTAGATAGAGGGGGAAATTAACCGTCTCGCGGACTGACTCTTCTGGCCAACTATTTCCCCTTTTTTTACCGAATTCTAGGATCCGTACCCCCGTAGGAAGGCCTGGTGGAAGCTAGGATCCGTACCCCCGTAGGAAGGCCTGGTGGAGGCTAGGATCCGTACCCCCGTAGGAAGGCCTGATGGAAGCTAGTTTCTGGTACCCAGTGAAGGCAATACAAACTCCGAGGCTCTGTATCACGCTATTACAAGTACGTGTCAACAGACTGTGAGCTATCATGGAGTTTGAGCAAACAAGGAAAACAGTTATCAACAGATATACTGAGCAAACATTTCCATATGCTCGGGTAGTGAGGTACTCTCTCTATTGAGGTAGTATAGCTGTCATCAATGAGGGTCTACATGCCTTTTTCAGTGAGACGTAGTGAGCCATTTTATTTCACCGTTGATAGTAGCTGCCCGCTTTAATCCAACGTTATACATTGTCGGAAGCGTAGTGGGCCGCATTACTTCCGTGTCATACCCTATTTCATATCCTGAATTCATCATTGAGCGTTATCAAAAATTCTTCGTATAGTGTAGTTGGATGCTAGATTGCCCCAAAATCATAACTTAAGGGAGCGTCCGCAGACTAGTTTTGCCAGAACATCCCAAAGAAGTCGCTCCCAAAGCCTGATTCAAGAAAAAAAAAGTTGACGAACAACTTACCAATACGTGTTACCCTGGTGTTACCGGCCTGCCTGAATGTAGCATTAAGCGTTATTGGCCCTGCCAGGATCACCCCCCCCCCCGCCACACAGATCCTTATGAAAAATTACTTGTTTCACAACAGAACGATTGATCCATTGAAGAGAGATCAAGTCATAGCTAGGCTCCACTAATATCCAAGCTGAACCTAATATTCGCGCTCCAACCAATCTCTATTTGTCGTCTCTGATTTCAGGTGATTATTGCATGACTTAGTTTCATGCCGTGACAGTGCGAAACCAGGAAAACTCGTGATTTCCGCTACGATTACTCAGCAAAAAAATATAGATTAGACGGAGTTTAATATGCGTGTCACTCACACTGGCTTTCCACGTAAACCCAGTGTTTGGAAACAGCGAGGGGGTTTTGAGAACTTGCCAGGAGTTTCTTGGAGTAACATACTTGCTCTCACCCCGGAGTCAACCTTGTAATTTCAGTCTCAGTGCTGCCACTGTGCTTCAGACAGAGGATTAACAAAGTTGGCGCGAAGCCCAGAATGCCAGCTGGACTGCGTCAGAGGCCCACCGAAGCGGAGGGAATATTGTTTATCTAAGGCCATGTTGATTCGATCATGTGGATGACATCCAAGCGCATAATTTTTCATCCGTTTCCAAAAGAAGTTCCGAACCGTACTGTAAATGGTACAAAAAGAGCGAATATATGTCGTATGTTGCAAAAAAAAAGTATTGGAAAACGATATTAATGTAATAGAATGCCGAAATCAATTCAGGAAATGAAGAAAATATGAAGAAATGAAAATAAAGAGTATTGTTATTCGCCATACCATACTCTGTGTATCTAGCTATTTGTTTATGACCACGTAGATTTCATAATGAATACAACTTTTTTTTTTTTGCCAAACTTTTTTTATTCGCACGCTCGCGTCAGTAATGCGGTTCCCAGAGGATGTCATCCACGTAATCAAACCAACATGGCCTAACTGGATCTGCGCCCTTCTGGAAAGAACTGGTCTTACGCGTATTGCATCCGTACACGTACATAATCACGAACCAACTTCCGAGTAACAGTAAAGCACCGAGTGGAAGGACCAACCGCTACTGTAACACTAGCTTCCGATCCTGACGTCATACAAGCTACTGCGCGTGGAATATTATAGAGTAGAGAGGACGGTGTTCATTGGGCACTGAGGTCCAACAAATCAGATCCAGACACAGTTTTTAGCAACTGTCAGTTTAGAGACCCTCCGATGTCTGTTTTGGTGTAACGTTGTGGACGGACCAAGGAGGTTCAAAAAGGGACCAACCGCTACTTTAACAACCACTTCCGCTCCTGACGTCATGGAAGCTACTACGCGTGGAATATTATAGAGTAGAGAGGACGGTGTTCATTGGGCAGGTCCAACAAATCAGATCCAGACACAGTTTTTAGAGACCTGAGGCAGTTTGTCAAGTCCCCCCGATGTGCCGATGTCCTGTTTTGTTGAACTTGTAACGCTGTTTGGATCGCCGCCGAGTGAGTGAGGACAACTGTAGGGAGAAGAGGACGGGATCTAGGAGTGTGTGAGCCTGAGTTGTTTATACACTCACGCAAACATGGCGCTGTTGTTCAGAGACCTGCAATCTATTCGTCTCCGGCAGGAGGTGTCCTTACTTCTGAACATGGACCAACCCATCTCTGGACACGACTACCGTCTATTGGCAGAACTACTGGGCTACGAGTACACGCTTATCCGAGCTTTTGGAGGCACCAGCAACCCCACCCTACGTCTGCTTGAAGATTGGGAGACCAAAAAAGACGCCACGGTGCAGAAGTTATGTGACTGTTTGGAGGAGATGGAGAGATATGACGTGTTAGAGTTGATACAGGACCACGTTAAACATGTTAAACAAACTGAGGCGAGGAGACCACTTGTGGTGCAACAGGAAACGGGTCGAGCTGCTTCCGACTCGGTGACGTCACACGGAGGTTTCACAATCTCCGAAAGGACAGATGTCAGGCCAAGTGTCATCGATTCGAATTTGAGCCCGCCAGCTCCGATTGGCTCAGAGTCAAGTGTTCCTTCCGGGTCCTTCACGACTGTTGGTACTTTTGTGTGCACTATTATGAGAATTCCGCCCGATAGAGGACTCCTATCCGCTGTCTCAACGAGCATCACGAATTTCCAGCTTCTGCTGGCCGCCATCTTGTTGGCCAATGACGTCATGTACGGGTTCGGGGCCAACATCCGGGGATTTCACCTGTCGGAACACGTGATGATTTTCCTGCCGCTTTGGGAGTTTTTCTACTGCGAACCTCGCGTCAAAACAAACTGTGAGCTGAGCAGAATTATCACAGAAAAGACACTACAAACTAAGGATACTTGCGAAGACTTTTTTGAAGATGAAAAACTACAAAAACTGAAAGCGCTACGCTCCAGAATAGCCTACAGTTTGAGGACCGCCATTTTGTTGACCTTGATGATTGAGTTGGTGTTTATTATGTTTATACTCGCGAGATGGCACTCGGATATTCGGTCAGACTTTTTCGGTGCAGTCTTTATAACATTCGTGTCAGACACTGCGTTCAACTGCTGGCTGTACTTCTGTCATTATCATTCTATTAAGACAGAAAAACTTGACAGACGTTTTGTGTTTTATGATCTTATGATGTTTGTCAACATGTCTAATTCCTCAGTGTCTCTTAAGCTTGCACCCTTATAGCAAAAACTGTTTATTACTATTAGATATACTAGTATAACGTTGCTGCATTGGTATTAATGATTATTTGTATATTTCATGTTTTGTATGCTATTTATTTTCAACGTCTGTATTGACATGTTACCTTCACAGAAGGAAAACATATATATGGTTTTTGCTCTGTTTCTTCCTCTTCTTCTCCAAATAAGGTCAATGACCTGAACCAGACGTCTGTCACCATGGTAACTAGTGTTGGGTTACATCATGTTGCAATTTTATAGCAGGAGGGATTTAGACTCCTGCCTGACCATATATATGAATGTGTTAGAGGGAAAATTAACAGAGCAGACCATATGCGAAAGGTAAACATTATGCAATTGCTTTGCAAATGTTACATTTCTGGTTAGACATTTGATATAGATAACGTTGCTGCATCGGACCATGAAGGTACATAGATGATTATTTATATATTACACGTTTTGTATGCTATTTATTTATCAACGATGTCATTTTTGTGGTTTATTGTTCGCACAGCTATACAGTTTTCTAGCAAACGATACTAGCATTACGGAAAGTGCGCTCTGTAGAATAGCGCCACCTTGTGGATATCGCAATTACGACATGGCGTTGATCATGCCCAGCACTTGTTTAAAAAATTATGATGTATATTGTGACGGCAGCTAACGTTTTTTTCTCCCTATCTTATTATATGTACAATTGTTTGTTCTAAGATCTTTAAAAGCTCTACTTTCATCTCTTTCTGTTTGAAGTTTTCTTACACCCCCGACACTTGTAATCGAGGTTCACAAATAATGTGACATGTTTAGTCTGAACCTTTTGTGCAATATTAGGCCATGTTGATTTGATTATATGGATGACATCTCCTGGGAACCCCAAAACTGATGCGAGCGTGCGAATAAAAAAGTTTGGCAAAAAAAAGTTTCCTTCATTATGAAATCTACGTGGTTATGAAGGTTGATCAAACGACAGAAAGTATGGTATGGCGAATAATCTAGTCCTCAAATTCTTTTCTTTACATTTTCGTCTTTTTCGTGTGATTTTGGCATTCTACGACATTGGTAGCGTTTTTCCAATATTTTGTTTTGCAACTTTATATTTGCTCATTTTGCAACTGTTCTGTACGATTTACAGTACGGTTGAATTTTTTTTTTTTTTTGGAAACGGACGAAAATTCGTGCGCGCGTGGATGTCATCCATATAATCAAATCAACATGGCCTTACTAGTGCCACATACAAGCGCGACTTAGCCATTCATTTCACGTGGCCAGAGGCAGGGCTGTTTTCTGCTGATAGTTTGTCCCAAACCATTTTGAAGGTGACCCAAAGATATTCGAACACGATTTCCCCCCGACATGGCGACACTTTAAAAGACGAGGTACGCCTGATAGGGAGGGAAGACACCGTATGGCTGCCTTTATCTACAAAAGCCGGTTTGTTAAAGTAAAATTGATAAGCACACTCACATTTCTCCTCGCCAGAAAAGTCGACGTATCTGATGTTAGTCGTGCCAAAGACAAGGACTACAAATTAAATTGGTTAGATACAAAGAGACAGAAACGGTGTGTGTGTGTGTGACCGTCTCATGATGATGTAACTTAAACGTGAAGGTGGCAAAGCATTGTGTAAAGAGATGTTTTTGGAATCCAGATCTTTTAATAAATCAAAATAAAACTTGACAAAGACAAGGGCTACAAATATTAAATTGGTTAGATTAAAGTAGACAGGAAGAGAGAGAGGGGGGGTGTTGATGATGTGACCGTCTCAGGATGATTTTAAATTTGAAGGTGGCAAAGCATTGTGTAAAGATATATATATATAT